AACTTTCCATCAAACTTTGACGGAAAGGAAAATCAAAAAGTTTGAATCAAACCCAGCCCATATCCTGTTAGCCATAACTCCACTCTTAAGAAGAAGGAAGGGAAGCAAGAGTACAATGCTGGCGATCGTCCCAAGAAATCTCCACGATCCTCCCTTCCATCCATCCACGCGCCTCCAATATTCCTTTCCACTTCATTAGGTTTAATCGGCTGATTTTTAATTACTTTGGACGCCCGGGGTCCACCAGGAGGAAGAAGGCAAGAAAAATCTCTCGTGTCAAGGGGCCTTGTCGAAACGGTTAATAAGTCCGTGAAAAGGGTGGAAGGACAGTGGGGAGTGGGGGGAGGGGAGGGGGGGTAGCTCGCGCCCTTGAAACTTTACAGACATTGGTAGCAATGGAACGAGGGCAGACCGGATGGACAAGGGGAAGTTTAATTAAATATCACACGACACATCATGGGACGAGGTCGTTGGCAAGTAACGTCACCCGCACACCTGAAACTCTGAAAAGTTCGAACGAAATGGACTTCGAACGGGACCGCCGGTTGGTTCCGCCGGAAATGGGCGGAGAAACCAGCGGAAACCGAGGCAGACGTTAATCAGATATCCCTTTTTTCTATAAATCCAACCCAACTCGGGAATTTTTATTCGGATACACTTATTCTCCTCTTAACGGCCGATCCAATTCGCGGAGGATACTTTGGGCGATGATACGGATACCGATGGAAATCCTAATTTCCCAATAATTCTGTCGAATGGCCGATTATACGGCCGATAAACGTGATCCTGCGTGGCCTCTGAATTCTGCTCGAAAGAGGAAGAGGGAGGATTCTGTGAATTGTGCTTTTGACAGGGAAGATTTTTCTTGGTAAATGAGAAATCCTATATCTTATTATTCTCCCTTTTCTCGGATTTTATTCCTTGATAAATGGAAATCAAGCGAGAAAGTTAAAGGCATTAATAATAAGTGAAAATCAAAATTTTTCTCATTGCTTCTTTCTTTTAGTGTTTAAATAAAAATTCTCTCTTTTTTTTTTCTATCTATTAACTGATGATGATTTTGTCTAGTGATGACAATATCATTGAACCGTATTAATTTCGATTCTCAATTAATTTTTAACAACTTTTGCATCCCTTTTTTTGTATTTTATACTTAATTCAACTACAATTCCTAGTTCATAAAAATAATATATATCTCAAATATTTTCGATTAAATCTTATAATCCATTCCATACCTTATCATCACAATCACAACAATTCTAATTTCTAAATCATAATAATTCTACACTTTTCATCACCAATATACGAATTTTATTCTCGAGATGACTTACTTAAAAATCGATATCACTACGTTTTATACAAATAAATCCATTCGATTAGTTTCCACCGATCATCCATTATGTATAGCGCCGCAAATACGAATACGACTCTAACCTCGAGCAAACATCGTCCTCGGCGATTAGAATGGCCTTCGTATCAGGGTAAGAAGTCCTTATCAAAGACCGTATACGTTGCCTTCTAGCCAACATGCTCCTGCCACGACGATAAACATTTGCCCCGGCGTGTTTACTCAGGTCTCTTTCTCTCTCTCTCTCT